TRCTACTGCAGACATCTGTGAAAGGAGCATCAAGTATRCTTTTATAGTATCTAGCACTGGGCATTTACTGCATTCAAAGTGAAAACRGAAGAAGTCTTAATAGCTGTTTTCGTTAATTCAAGCAGTAAGTCCTATTTCTATTTGATAGTGTAAAATAGGGAAAAAGTTTTTACTGTGACCTTTTCTGTTTTTTCAAAATTGAGTATTATATCTTAATTCTAGGATATTCACCTTGCGAAACGATTCTATGACATGGCTGCTGAAGCAAGCCCAGATGCCCAGGTTCCTGTCTTCCTAGCACTTTGCAAGCTTGGAGTGATTTACTCCTGGCAGTATGTACGAGAAATCAATGTAAGTACTGCAGAACTAAAAAGAAAAGCAGCAAAGAATGTTGTCACAACTAAGTCATTGAAAAATAGCCATCTTTGAGAAGATAGAGAATTACTGAAAAATAGAAAACTGCTGAAACAATGATCCTTCTTACTTATTTTTGCAAGTGTATGAAAGTGCAATGTGCCCAGCCAATGTTTCTGTACTATTTCTCCCTTGAAGAGAATTTSCCTAGCCTTTTTGATCATTCTTATTAATTAGGATATGTTATCAGAGTTAAACAGATGATTCAGATGACATGGTGGTTGCTTAAAGAAAAAATATTGATTTAACCCTAATTTTATAGTGTCTGTAACAATCTCATTTGAGTCCAGTTTAATTTCYGTGAAGAGATGATGTGTTAGAATGGCTATTGTTCAGATTTTTGTGCTCAGTGATGGCACTGATACTTGTCTGAAATGTTAGGTGACTGTTATCCATATGATGTCTGAAAAGGTCAATATTCTGATATCTTACTGCCCCGGGGATTACTTGATTATTTCCAATGCTATTCCTACTTTAAGTAAACCAGTCTTCAGCAATTCAGCCAAGATTGATCACACTCAATAGACTACAACTCATTTTTTTTTCTGGACAATCACAATATTCTAAATCAATTGGGCAAATGTCCATGAACACTAACAGAATCTATTGGGCCACACGTGGGTATGTCCTATTTCAAGCTGGCAAATACAAATACATTGAGAATATCTCTACAGGGGAAGGTTAGTGGGTATTAACTGTGCACTAAGCAAATTAATCCAATCTAAAAGCAGTTCAGTCAAAACTACCAGTAAGTCATTTTGGTTGATAATGTGCCTGTGCCTTAGCTATGTGACTCTCAGCACTGGATTACATGAACATCCTGTAATTTAATGTCCTGTTGTTCACTGGCATCTGCTGATGGCTTCTGCTAGAACTGGACTGAGGGGCCRAGTTTGCTGTCTCTATGCATTTGGCATTTGCTCCTCTTGTTTCAAGACAAGTAGAATTGTTACGTATGCCATTCATATTTAAATTATGTTTCCTTTATTGCTACGTATCTGAAAGTCACAAAGCTACGTAGTGAGGAGTTCTTCTTAGAATAACTAATCTTCCATAACGTGGCTCATATACACCTTAAATTCCTGGAAATTCAAGATGTCACTGAGGTAACTAATTCTTCTTAGAGTAAAAAAACACCTAGARTCTTAAAATTACATCTTTGTATGTGAAAAAAGTCAAATTTAAAAACAACTTCTCGTTCTTGCTCTTTAACATGACCCTGTGGGTTTCTTGTCTCAGATCAGGGAAGTATTCTCGCATATTGACATGGACCAGCTGCTGGGGCCCGAGTGGGACCTTTACCTGATGACCATCATCGCGCTGCTGCTGGGGACAGTGATAGCCTACAGGCAGAGGCAGCAGCAGGCGCTCCCCAGAGCAGCAGGACTGCGGCCCCCGGCGCCTCCCCAAGAGCCACCACCAGAGCAGCAGCCGCCRCAATAGCAGCACGAGCCTCCACGGAAGAACTGGATTTTTCCAACAGGAACGACTTTCGTTGTGACTTAGGACTTTGGATTAACGGTCCCTCCCCCAAAAAGAGGCGCAAAGAAGTTGAGGGGAAAAAAAAAGTCTGAAAGCTGCTTAGAATGATGCCTTTTTTCAGGGAAAAGAAACTTCTTTTGAAACTGATTCGAATGTTATTTCAGTGCCAATGGAATAACACTATGGCTTTTTCCATGGAAGCACAAGTGTGCTACTACAAAAATGTTGCCTGCTGTATCTAGTTGCTCTTTATTCAAAGTCTTTTTCATCTCCTAGAGAGCAGAAGATGAGTGTTGGAAGGTTTTGCCTACCTGATAGAAGCTACCCTATTTAAAAAATATATATGACCAGTTTAAGTTCCAGAGGCTTAAAATATGTGAAGTCAAAGATATAAGTCCTACAATTCTAATTTTTTTCTTAATATTTCTTAATAGAGTTTGGTCTCTTATGTTGTCTTGGGTGGTTTAATGTGGTTTATTCATAAAAATCCCAAACTAAGCCAGCAAACAAATCACTCTAACTTTGTGCTGTTGTTGCAAGTTATTTTCCTCTGTTGACTTCAGCGTAGTCAGTAGCCAGTACGTAGCCCAGGAGTTTGCTTGGGACAGATTGGGCTTTTAGGACTAGTCAGTTGAAGCTGTATACACAGGGCCCAGACTTCTCCCCTTTCTAAAACTTTTGGAGTTCATATGTAACTTGCCATCCCTCCTGAAATAAAGATAAGATGCTAGTATTCGTAAACAGCTTGCACCTAGCGAGGCTTGGGCTAGATTGCAGAAATTGGCAGTATTAGGATGGACATTGAAGAGAGGAGAGAGGCAGAAGTCTTCTTGGTGAGTCAGCTTTCCTGTATTTACATGTGAAAGTCTTGTTTAATCCCAGCAAGTGACCTGCTTAGCAAGAAGGGGTTCGTGCAGCAGAAGTGGATCTGGTGTCTTCATGCATGTTTCCTGCTCAAGTTTGCCCAAGTRGCAAACTGTGAAGCAGCGAGGACTCGGGGCAGTAGTGCAGAGGTGCAGCTGGGTGGTTTAACAAACGCTAGATGACAGCAGTGCTCTGGCTGTGGCCTAGTTCCCCTGTCCTTGGCATATCATGGAGGGCCAGAAAGACATTCCTAAATAGCTAGGCCATCTGAGGATCCCTTTTAATGACAACAACAAAAAAAAAAAAAGACACAAGTGACTAATTTTTTGTGGCTTCTTGATGTACCACCAGGTCGGTGCAGAGGTCTTCTGGTAGGAGTAAAGAAATGACCTGTGGATTGATGTTTTTTTAGACTGCAGTAAGAGCCTTGACTTTTCTTTGAACTATCATTTGGGGGGKAGGAGAGGGCAAAATAGCTCTTTGGGACAAGAAATACAGATATTTCTGTTCCTTTCTGTTCAATAAGTTAATTTTTTTTCTGTATTAGCATTAAACTCTCTGAATATGCTCTCAGAGTAATGAAATATGAATAGGGAGGTCTTGCTTTCTGACAAAATTTGTTGCATTTAAAGGATTACAGGCTTCCTTTCATGCACAAGCTTTTTTTCTTCAGTGGATTGGCAGCAACATATCAATATGCTGTAGAATTGAGATGTCTGTATGACTTTATACTTAATGCAGTTGTAAGGAGACCATTGCACAATATATCTGCAGTTTGGGAACAACGGTAAGAAATCCACTGTCTTGGAAACTGAAATGTTATCAGTGACTAGTATTAAAATACAAGTAGTGCTTCTGAGTGCTTAGAAGTGCTGATGCTGGTTATGTGCTGACAAATTTTTGATGTTAGTGTGGGGGATGCAGCGTGATAAGAGCAATGTTGTGTTTCAGTCCCAATTATCATTAGCAAATGAACAGTATTGAGCTTAAATATAGTGTCGAAAGTGTACAGCACTCTCCAGCTCCATTTCTAAGATCTCCGTGATTTCTGAACACTTCCTCTGAAGTATTTTTACCTCTGTCACTTAATAGCTCTTTTTAGTTCAGCATGAATAAATTAATTGTATGGAAGCTGTTTTCTCCAGTTAACTGCCATTGGTTCATTGGTATTGGTCTTTTAGTATGTTTAACAATTTTGTTATGACTTTCTTAATCTTAAAGTTTTTCTTGTGTTTAATCTGTGATAACTAAATTATAAAAATTCTATCCTAATTGCATGAGAATCTCTCATTGTTGCTGCTATGTGAGAGTCTTAGAGCTGACTGTTCACTGAACTGTTGTATTTTACACCCAAGGAATCAGCAAAACCAATTGAAGATCAGTAAGTTGTTTCACTTGAACTGCTTTTTGAAGAAGCAATAGGGAAGTCCTGCTCTTTCCCTTCCCACCAAATTGCTGCCACTTAACTTTTTCAGATGGCATTCATCTGAGGTGTGGTAGTGGTAGATACCATGAGTAATAGCAAGTTTGCTCAGGGACTAAAGTGCATACGTTTTCTAAATCTGCCTAKAACATCACTGAAGTTTTTCTGACAATCCCCTGCTAGACTTTTTGAAACTTGCATCTGGAGAGAAGCGCGTATGACTCTTACTAGCGATCTTTTGTGTTGTGCACCCAGTTCATCAGACAGCTTCTTTCCTATGGGAGATGGGTTTTACTGGAGTGAAGTACCCTTCCCTTGTTGTAGCACACGTATTGTCTTATACTTTATATGCAGGAGTAGTTTAGAAGGGAAACTAAGGGCTGCCTTCCTAGGAATGTGCAGTGTGCATCTGAATGGAAGAATCGTCATCTTTACTAGGGAAATACCCTGGGTTTGACTTTCTCAAACATGTCCTCTCTGCATGGAGAATAGAACAAGAGAGCAGGAGCTGTTGTCAGTAGCAGCTCTGCATGTAGAAGAGCAGTGGAAAGATGATTTAAGGGGAAAATGTTGTGCAGCATCTCAAATGACTAATCAAACACATCAACTATGATAGCAGTTTGAAAAAAATAGCATTGAACTGTTGTGGAAGAGGGACTCTAGTTCTTCCCTCTGGTGCAGTTTGACTCAGAGCTTAGTCTGTTAATACTTCTTGCTTTATATTGTCTGTCAGAGGACAATGTAGTGGAAGATACAGTCTTTGATTATAAATATCCCCAAGACTTTTGAGACAATTTTACTTGTTTTTTAGTTATATTCTGTAAGGCATCAGCTCTTTTTGATTAAATTTGCAAAAAAAAAAAAATCTATAAAATGTTTGAGGAAGAATATTGAAACTTGGCTGTGAAAGGACTTTTAAAACTATGCATTATCTAGCTTCCACCTACTATGTGGCTAGACTTTGACCTATAAAAGGATTATTACAGGAGACTACACTCCCCTTTGCAAGTTGCTTCCTTTTTAGCTAGGCAACAAACAAATTCTATTTTTGTTTCAGAGAATATTGAACTAAGAAGATTTAGTTTGATTTGAGAACTACTGCAAATGCATATGGCAAATAGGGATTATTGGGGGGAACCCTTTGTTTTTATCAGCTGCAGTTCTTAAAAGGGTGTTGTAGGAGTTTTGTAAATTTATTTTGTATTTAAAAATCAGTATAAAGGCTGGTCAAATGTAATATAATTGTGTAAACAAATTCTGTTAATAGAAAGATGTACAGATTCATTTTGTACTGTATCTTTAATCTTGTGAAATAAAAACACCACGTGTGTGGTYACCCTCTGCTCACAGTGACTATAATACAAGGATGTCCATTGCTAATGGTGTTTACTGATATAGTGTGACCAAATGAATCTCTTTCTCTGAGGACACTCACATTTCTTTCACTCCTGTTCAATCTTGAATTCTGGAGGAGCAGCAGAAATTTCTGGATTACGTTTTCTGCACTGCTGGAGATTTACTGTASGCATTTTGAGCAGCCTGTGCTGTTCCTAGCAGGTGTGGAACCCCTGTGTGATCTGAGAAGGGGGCAGTAATTTTAGGACTAATATTGTGTCTTTAAGACTTGGAGCGGCACAGGTACCCTGATGAGTTGTGGTAGGTGCTGGGGACAGGGTGTGCTCCRACCGAGCAAGCTGCCTCCGTGTGCTTCCCGCCTCCCGGCCCTGTSGGCACCTGCTCGGCCTTCCAGGCCCTGCCTAGCGGCCTGTGTGTCCTCCCTCAGAAACACCATGGGCCTTTGCTCTCCAGCGTTGCCTGTTCATGGGGAAGGAAAACAGTGAGCAAGGAGGCAAGGGATGTACGAGCCATCAACAGGACAACTGAGTCTTKGATGGTCTGATAGAGTTGTCTCTTGGAGAGAAGCAGGTTCTAAACAGAGCTGTTGACAGCACTTGTTATGTAATTAGGTACTTCCCAATCCTCCTGATACTGACACCAGCTTCTGCCAAATGTAGCTCGGGTTTAGGGCTTTTCTGCTCTTCCCAGCAAGGCTGGGGTTTGCAATGCGAGTGCCCGTGTGCTCAGCTGAGGTGGGGTCAGAGCTGTAGCCAACTCCTTTTACCTTCCTAGCTCTGAATCAGATTTGTGGAGAGCGGGAGAATGGATTTGCTCGTTTGTCTGAAACGCTATTTTAGCCTTCTAGGTTGGTAAGCTTGTAGCAAATGGGGAGTTGTGTTCTGTGGAGGGTGAAGGGGCCTGGAATATGAATGAGCATGGAAATAGCCCTGCATCTRCTTCATTGGAAGCAAGGGCACCTGCAGGCTCCTGGCTCTCTCAGCTTGGTGGTTCTTGTTTGTTTTTCAACTGCTGTATTCTTTTTAGTCTAAAAATGATATTTTGCATTTTCTGTTTTTAGGGTTACTTGATAAGTACCAGAATGTTCCTACTCTAAATGATCAGCTTGAAGGTATTTTTGGGTCATGATGGTAATGCCTAGTTCCATAAAGAATTTGGGGGGAAAAAAGGGTTTGCCAGCTGCAGGGGTCAGAACACTGTAAATTACTTCTTCCCAAAGCAAAGGTATGGAGGAGTTGGAGTCTTCCCCTCAATGAAGACTTCAATACTTAGCTMTGACTTGCATCTACAGAAAAGCAAGTAGAGATGGAGCACCGTGATTGCACCATTGTGATTGTGCCGTGTGGTGAGGTAAATGTGGTTTGGCTTCTATGGCACTATAACTCGTTTCCATAGTAAACCTTGGAAGGACTATTTTCGTATTAAAAGGTATCAGAGGCACTGTCAGTTTTTCTGGTAAGCTTTTCTGAGCACAGGCAGTCTCTTGTCAAGCTAAAAATCCTTTTAAAGGTGGGTTGCTCACACATTTGTATCTTTAGAGCTCATCTTTTGGGCTTACCACATGACACTGCAATTCCAGATTTGGGGAAATAACTTGGGGAAAAAAATGCTTCAAGATGCTTGTTATCTCTCTGGTTTTCTTCAGTGGTGCTTTCCTATGTGCTTCCCTCCAGAGTTGTTTCTTTTGCACTTTTCTGTCTTCTCTATGTTCTAATCAAACTCAAAATAATGTCCTATTTAAATGAGATGTTCCRGTTTCAATCCATGCTTATTTATAATTGAGATCTATTTCTGTACAATACTCAATTTTATTACTTATTTCTTTCGCAGGAAAAAAAGAAATATCTTGGAGTTTAACTTCAAAAATAGACTCAGAATATCTGGTCTCTGAGCACAGAATTTAGAATCTATTTTCCCTGGAAAAAATATGGAAGCTCTTTCAAATCATTGTTCCAATTCAGTGTTCAGGGTCTGTCTGGACAGACTTATAATCCAGTCAAAACTTTTTGCTTAAATCTGTTAAGCATGAAACTGTTCTCACACCCTTAGAAAAGATTTTTTACCTGTTTACTTCTCATCCCAGGAGATGCTCTCTAATCAACATCTGACTCTTCCTGCCTTTCTCTCTGATCTTGCATGATATGGCAATCTTTTCATTCTTGAGTTTTCATAGAAAATCTTAATTCCATTCTGTTGTTATTGCCCTCTTCTCTGATTATGTGCCAGCTTTACTTGTTGCTAGCAACAAGGCTAGAAATTCAAATGTTCAGATGCCTTCTCCCAACAGTATGATGGTCAAGCTGCAACMATTTCAGTTGTTAATTCTCCTCATGGATCAAGTGCCTGTTCTATCTGATTTTGTTCAAGTATTTTTCATTTCTTTTCTTCCTCCTTTAAGTGCTAAAAATGCACACAGTAGTATGAGGAGTAGAAGGGAGAGGAAGAAGCTGAGTAATCTGCAAATATATTATCCTCTAATTGTATATTTTTTCACATAAAATCATTTTATACTGCTATTTTAAAGTAAATTCCAAAACAGTCCTTTAGTATAAAATCTTCCCAGAAATGTTCACTCATTTATTGTTGAATAGCTTTCAWATTGATGTTTCTCTTCAAGTTAATCTAAATAAAATATTTCTAAGCCTTGCTCTTTGGACTCTTAAATTATCTTGAATGCTGTCTTTTTCCCACTGTTTGCTGCTCTTTGCTAATAAATATTCCCCCTAATGTTCACTGTCCTTTTCTTGCTGTCAGCTAGAGCTTATTCTGGTAACAGCAGCCTGCATCTTTTCATTGTTACATTTACATTGGGCATTGCATGGAAAGCACTACATTAAATATAAGGGTAGTATATATTTGCATTGTATTTACTGTGCTAGGCAGAGGGCTCATTTTGTAATGTTTCTGCTGATTTTGTTAAAAGTCAAATAGATTAAAAGTCAGAACCCCAAGAAGTTGGTCCATGCATAAACATCCAAGCAAAGAAGAAAACATTGAAATAGTCTGATTGCCTCCTATAGGCCCTGTTATCTGTGCTAGTCTGTTCTGCTACTTTTTTTTTTTTTTTGGAATATTCCTTATAGACAACATGTCAATTAGTTGAGCCATAGCTGCCTGGACAGAGGCTAATATTGCAAATTTAGATCCACATATTCAGAGTACAAATAGTTTCTCATAAAAAAGAGTGAACGGGTTTTATACAAGTTGGTTAAAAATTATTTTTTAATGGTTCTTTTTTTTGCTAATGAGACCATCTGGTGAAGCATTCATGAAGTTGTCCAAATAACTTTAAAAAATGCATTGTACAAAAGTGTTTGCTTCTACCCATTCCTACTCTGATTCTTGTCAGGCTCTGGATATTGCCATTTAGTAGCCATTAGTGACTTAATGCCATTTAGTGACTTAATGGCATATTAAGTGATTTTTAATAGGATATTTCTATGTTTCTCTATTAACAATTTTAAAGACAAACCTTGCTTGCATTGCTAGAGTAAAAAACAAATGTGATTAAAAAATCAAGTACACTTTATCACTAACTTTAAGAGACTTTATAGCTGATGTTACAGCTACCAAAGAAATGTGGTGTGCTCCAGGCCACAGCTTACAACACTGACTTGATAAAAAAAAAAAAAAAAAAGAGTATTTCTTGGAGAATCATCCGGCTTTAAAAAAAAGCCTGAAAATCTCCTCTTCAATGGGTTTTCCAGTGTTGAGTTACCTTTGTTACTGATGCTGTGGTTCTCTCGCTTGAATGCTGTTGATGGAGCTGATTTTGTTTTGTTTAGGTTGTGTTTAGCTTAATCTCTGGTTCTGACTGGTTAGACTGGACAGTCCAGTAATAAGACACACACACACACACACACACAAAATCTGTATTTTATAGTGTAATCCAATGGTCCTTGTCTAAAGCTTCGTCTATAAGGGGACTGGTGAAGCCTTTCGGTTCTCTTGCAAATAATTTTGAGTCTGACTTGATTGTTTTGAACTCTATTTAGAGAAGCCTTGCACAGAAGGGAGGTGACGAGAAAGAGGGAATCCAACCCAGTGAGATAACTGGTGATCTCACTGCTTGCAGCTGTGTTGGCTTTTTCTGCTGCTTTGCTAAACAAATAGTGTTGGTGATTTCCTGCAAGGAACCTCGTCTTTTACCCCATGGAAGGTAAAGGATACCTGTAGGTAATTATATGTATATTTTTTTCTGATGGTATTCTAATGGACAGAGCACAGCTGTCTTGGGTTTTGAGAAAAGAGATTGCAGGCAGCCCTTTGGCTGAAAACTGAAGCACTATATGGTAAATATATATATATTTATATATTTATATATTTATATATTTACCATATATATATATAATATATAATATATATATAGTATATATTTATATATATACTATACTAAAAATTGTGGGGGGAAAGGAAATATTTTGCACAGTAGAAATAAATCTGTCCTTGCGGCATTTCAAATACAGAGTTTCATTAGTCTTTTGGGAGCTCTCTGGCACTGTGAAAGGTACTAGAACAAAATGTAAAATATGCCATTTTAAAACATTATTTGATATAAATATTTTATTTACACCGTCTGCTAAAGATTTTCTTGCAGCCACAGAAAGGAGGTTTTTGAATGATGTAG